ATGGTTACAATCGCCCAGACCAAATGGAAACCTGATTTTAGAGTTATATATGAAAATACCCCTCTTTTAATTATAATTTTCTGCTAATATATATTTTTGGTCGTCGTTAATATCTTGTCAGCTCCATATTCTTGTCAGCTCCATATTCGAGTAAAAATGAAAATGGGGGGGGGGGTCAAAGAAAAATATTCTAATATGTAGGGGGTCATCACTAAATTTCTGCTCTTTTAAGTGGGGGCTTTCAATTTTAAAAATTTAGGAAAGAAAAAATTCCCCTCCCCCTCTTCCATAAATAATGACCGGTCCCTAATACGAGCCAATTCATTCGAGACATTTGACCAATTACCACAACTTCATTTCTGGTCACTTCCTGTCTCTTTGTGATTGGTCAATTATACCAAAACCAAAGGTGATTGGTGCATTCAACCTGGCATATTCAACTTACAGAAGGTTTATTAATTATACAGAAAGTTATCAAATTTTCAAATAACTAATCAAATGAATTGGTTCATGTGACTTCATTACCATGACTGTAATTATGGGGGTTAATATAGCAACCCATTATTTAAAGTATTTTTATACCCCTGGCTTCCAGGCATTTTTAGGGCCTGTTCATATGGGCAAAAGTTATCCCAGTTAACGAGAGAACTTTTCAACTAGCCAAATACTTTTGTTCTGTTCATATGGAGAAACTTTATCCCACTTACCGGGTAAAGTTTTCGGCTGTGACGTGGCACTGAACATCAATTGAATTGAAAAGTTGCTGACACAACAGAAAGTTATTCCGCTAAGCGGGAAAGTTGTGTTCATATGGGAAAAACATCCCGGTCACCGAGATCTCGCCTGTCAAGAAGCGAGATCTCGGTACACGGGAAAACTTTTTGTCTCATATGAACGCAGTGTAACTTTTCATATTATTTTCATACCAAGGTGAGATCTCGCTTGTAAACTTGTCGAAACGTTTTCTCGCTAACCGGGATAACTTTTGCCCATATGAACAGGCCCTTAGCCCTGTATATGGTTAATATATTTCTGGTATTAATATTGAAAATTCAGAATCGTTTTGTAAATATATCAATGCGCAATGGGAACAAATAAAGTTGTTGTCATTGTAGTACTGCTGGTTAAGATACCACACAGCCCATATACTGTAAATTATGATTAAGTTTGCAAACTTATATTTCCAGGATATATCCTGCATATGTCGATTGTAAATTCAACAACGTGCCAAATTTGAAACAATCGCTACAGGTACTTTTTGTTTTTAAATATGGGCACTATAGATACCTTAAAAATAAAGCTTATAGTGATAAAAGCTTAAGAGGGGATCCGTGTGAAAACCATGCAAATTTGAAAAATCGCTCTACAACACAGTTGACGGATTTTGACCAAATTTTGGTGAAGCATGGTGATGGACCGAAAAACGTCACAGGCAAACTTTCGTGTGTTAGAATTAAATTGTTTGGGAGTTATGGCGCATTAAAAGTTTACGGTATGTCTGGACCGGAAATAGATGATTTTTACCGTATATTTTGAGTGTTCAGTAAGAGGCATGGTTCAAAAGTCGGGTAACCTAAGTATGATTTTTAAGATGAGAGAAAGACTTGCAATTATATTTACATAATGGCATTATCTCCCCTTGCCCTGGTTTACAGGTTACGGTCAGGCATTGAGGTAGCAAACCACGCGTAGTTGACATGAAGCCAAATTTGACAATATTAAAGCGAGTATTTCTCAAATGCGGCGGGGTAAGGCATCTTAGGTTTGCATTCTATTCTTTAATTGACACCTAAATATAAAAACTAGATGAAAAAAAGTGTGAAAAATAAACGAATTCTTGGACAAATTTTGACAAAAACACCGCCTCGTTGTCAGCCGCCATTTTGTTGTTTTGTTGATTATTTTTATTTAATCTATATGATTTAAAGATGAATCAGTGACAGATTTACAAACATGTTACACCAAATACACAGATATGTATATAGACCGTATACCAATAGTTAAAAATATCACAATAATTGATTCAAAACAAAAAACTGTCCTATATAGTTCACATTTACCAAGGCAATTTACTCAGCTAGCTACCTGTATAGATAAAAAAACAATCGTATCGTGTTTTTGTTTCCGTTTGCCATGCTGAGTCTATTGATCAACAATCCACGCTGACTAACAAAATTTAATCCAGAAATCTAATTAATTTTCTATTGCTGTTAATTATTAACAATTATGCCCGAGAGATGAATCACCAGGGCCTCCCAGAGGAAGGCGGGGGGGGGGGTGTCAAATAGGGCAATTTGCCTCGTGGCCCCAAATAAAGCTGTACCCACAAAAGGTGTAATTAATACAAGTTTTTCATATAAGTAATGCTATGAGAAAAATTTTTAGACCTTAATTTTACTGGTATTTGTCCGAAAAATGTGTTTTACCCGTGATTTTACACGTATTTGTTCGGAAAAATTTGTCAAGGCCACCAGAGAGGTTAACTGCCAATAAAAAACAAACAGATTTCTATTTGCAGCGATAAATTTATCTCCATGAATGATTACATGGTGACGAAACTGACAGGAATACTAAGCGATGGAATACTTTGGCCAGATCGTGAGGCTGGGTAGCTTTAGATAAGAAAAAAAATGAGATCTGCTGAATAGACGTTTAGGTCATAGAAAATCCTAATAGAAATTGTACCTCAAATTGATCGCTAACTGCTGCACATGCCGACAACTTTGTTATACAAGCTGAAACATGCCAGCTTATTCCTTTCTGGCCAAACCACTCCGACTGAGTTTCCCTGAATTTAACAGGCAGCCATTTCATTGCCCAGTCAGTGGCGAAGCCAGCGGTCATGCAGGTCATGCAGTGCATGACTAAAAATTTCCCCAAAAATGTTTAAAAATCAGTTCAGTATAATTGTTTACAATAGAATTATACTTTATCTTTGCACTTCTATGCCTAAGTATTTTATTTATTATTTTGTTTACCCAAATCAATGGTCTTTAGGCGATATTCTTGCTAAATATTCTCGTATGTTATTGATTTTGGCTTTGTTACCTTGGCAACTGAGCGGTCCTGCATATTTTCACATGCATGACCGGTTGCGTAAGCGCGTGGAAAAAGATTGCGTGTGATTGCTGCGTGGTTTGCTCGCTGTGTGTTTTGGTCATTCACTTTCAGAATTTCATAACAGCTGTATTATTTTATATTAGGTTTGTTGGTTTCTGATTGGCTTACGACGTTCGCGCACGCGCAATGTGGCTGTTTTTGACGCCTTGGTCATGCAATTTCCGATTTGCATGACTAAACGGGCAACACAACCTGATCACAGCCTCTTAGCTCGAAGCTTTCAGCCTGAATGAACACGTCTTCAGGTCATTCAAGCATGTCGACTTCTTCTTTACTCGAAGCTAACAATATTGTTTGGGAATTGGTGAAAAAACTATTTTCTGCTGAGCAGAATATTATTGTTTATAAGCAGAGACAAACGCCAGATCTTTCGACATGCCTGATCGGGAAGGTTTTCAAATGTCGTGGTATTCAAAGAAAGAATGGCTTAGCCAGTCAGGCTTAGGCTAAATAAGCTATTGCCTATTGGTATTTAGTTATTGTTACATGTATTTTGTCTTGAATATTTAAGCCTTCAACCCGAGCATAGGCGTATAAAGCATCGAATGCTATATGAAATACAATGTCAATGTCGAGGTCAATGTAGTAAACAATGTAGTTCTATAAATAGAGCTGCAAAGCTTATACATTTCAACACGCAACACAAACATTTTAGCGATTGTGATTTAGCAATATATTTGATATATACTTGTTTGTGAAACAAACAAAGAAATTTCAACATATATTGTTAAATTGTATTTACCATTTGGTACATACTCCCTGTGCGTTCAAAAATATCCAATATTGGCAATAGCCAATAATCGATATGAATGCAGAATTCGGCTATAAAACTGACAGTAAAACTTCTACTCAAACATCTGATAATGCTTAATTCATTTCTGTATGTAATATTGTAATAATTGGGCGATTGATTTTAAATTAAGGAAATTGATCAAGGCTCATGCGTTATATTTTCCAAGTCCTGCATATTATACCTATATTCTAGATTATACTGACTGTATTAGCAGCTATTTGTCATTATGTTCTGTTAGTATTATGTGGATAAAATTGTATCTAGTTCTGGAAATGTGAAAACTCTTCAGACTTCACGTTGGAATACTACAAGGGGATAGCATATCAAAGTAATCAATTGAAAATTAGGTAGTCTATACAGACGATGAAAATACAGAACATGCATGTAATATTTTCTGATCGAAAAGAAATGCACAATGTATTGCCGGTATGACTATAATTAGCGGAACTGCAGACCACAGATTTCCTATTTTTGTGTCGATCTTCATTATTGTTGTCTGAAATATGCCAAAATATCCACATATTTTCCCGTCATTAGATCAAGCTATTTTCTGAAATTTGATGCTCAGATTGCTGCAAATGGCATTTCTGGGGTATATATTTCAAAAATTTTCCGGGGGTGCATGCCGCCGGACTCCCCTAGGATGTCTCACGCCTTCGGCGCTTGTTTGCATGACCACTCACAAGACGCTGGCTTCGCCACTGTGCCCAGTCAACAATGATAAGCACTTCTTTGCCAGTTAGTTTTTCAAGAACAGAAGATTTGGCATGGTCTTGTATAATCGTCCGAACAATATGAGTTTTCCAGGCTTCAATCTTCTCACACACAACTTCAATATTGCTTGTAAGCTCCTCGTGCTCCCTGTTGTTTCTACAATAAAAATGGGGTTATTTTGATAAACATGCAAACAAACAAACAAACCAAACCAAAACAAAACAGATAAAAAAACAGATAAAAAAACAAACAGATAAAAAAACAAACAAACAGATTCTTGAAATTTATCTTTAACAACTTTATTATAAATGAAAAACATTATCTGTGGCACTGTGCGGTGACTTTATCGCATAATATGGCTAGTTAGATTTTGCTAAATATTCTTATTGTTCTCGTCGTACACACATCTGTTAAGAATACTTTCATTGTCCAGGACATTACGTAAATCCCGGAGAACACCTTTGCAATCATCACATCTATCGCAAATAGCATCATGCTTATGTGGACATGTGCTACTGAATTCCTTTTCAGAGGATAACTCGTACACCTTGCAGTGATCTGCACATCGACTTTCTTCTTGCACGTGAACTTTGAAGTCAGCCTTAAAGTATTTTTTCGAAGCACGTAGTCGTTGTATACACAGGTCAACCCACTCCCTATTCACACCTTGTACAAAAAGAATATGGAATTAAGAAATACTTAGTCTGCTTTAATGCATCAGAAGGATAACACCATGAAAAAAAGTTTACTCCATATAGGACACTTACCTAAATTTGCTAATGTATCTAAAGACTCCACTAAGTTATCAAAGGCTGCCGATCCTTCAGAGGCTATATTGTCAAGTCCCGAAAGGCTTTTTGTTTGTGAAGCTGCACACATCTATGGTATTAAAACACACAGTTGTTTATTCAAATTATATCAGTAGTATCACAAATAAGTTGTTGATATTAGCATTTACTACCCTCAATCCTAACCAAAACTTGCATTATACCCTCCAAATGTTCATCAAATTTACTTTGGTAATAGATCATTTTGCAATTTTCGTTGTTCCAGTCCTCTCGGGGAAAAAGTCATTAGTCGACCTTGTGTCAGTCCTTTCTGAGGGTATAAGAGTTTGGCCCAGTAGTGACTTTTGCGCCTTGGAAGGACTGGAACTAGGCGAAATATGCATTAGTAACATGGTTAATTGATAGAACTAGCAAACAGGCTTCACTCGAAATATCAGCGCCTTTCGTCAGCGAAATTAGCAGCAGCTCAAGACATTTTTGTTTAAAGTTGTTGTATACATAAGACGTCATATTAGCATGCCTCAGGCCACTTTCATGCTTTATTAGACCAATATTACTGCATGAAATACAGAAAATGGATGCCCTGTGTATGGCAAAACCTTATTTAGATTTGACTGTTACATTTGTGATTTCATGTTGGCGGAACATCACCAAATTAATCTTATTGGCTGGAATCGTGTTTAGAACCAACGTAGCTTACTTTGGCACCAAACATGTCTTCTGAATCTGAAGGGATTGGCTCGAAAGTCCTCAATGCTGTTTGACAATAACTCAAAATCCAACTGCCTCTCGAGCTGCATGAAGTTACATATACATGAGCACGGAGTTACATGTACACACACATTTTTCAAAATGCAAAATTCAAATTACACTGTAGAATATAGATGAGTTTTGAGTGATTGTTAGATTGTATATGTAAATTAAACATAATTATGTACCTTTAGAATTGAATGCAACAATGTTTTTCCTAGAGGACTAAACCCAATTTCATTACAATATGCCTGATACAGTTTAACCATTCTTGTGTTAACTAGAGTTCTGATTACACCTGGAATCTCTAGTTTTTCGCCTGTTGATAACTTCAGATGCCTGGTCCCATATGCTACATCTTGCAGAAAACAGGGACTACTAGTAAAATCAAGAAAATGGTCTAACTTCTCTTGCGGAAGACGGTAGCGTACGACTGGCTCTTTCTCCTCAGGCTCAGCTGTCCCAATAGTGTTTGAATGTGATTGTGCACGATCGATTCGCCACACAGAGAGACCAGGAATCATGGTTTGCAGTTGACTTTTGGTATAATGGGAAGCAAATACTGATAAAATCATTTCTTTTGTGTACCAAGATGATGATGCGTCGTAAAGTTTCAGCAGAGTATCCATTGTCATCTCATTGCTTTGATTGCGCTCTTTCGACTTCTTTTCTTCAGTAAGTAGCCTCCACTTATCTGATTGTCCAGGTGCAATACAATCAAGCATCGCTTGGGATATTTCTTTGAATTTGCTTTTTATATACGACCTGGTGCTCAACGCAACTTCATCAATTGGTTGGTGGAGTTCAAACCTTACAGGCTCTATTTCACCGTCACTTATGCTGCACAGGAATGTATTCAAGGCCAGAAGTTTGTTCTTCGCCTGTGGAGTTGGTTGCCACTTGTAATAAAATAGCATATTGACAATGGTATTGTTCATTGTGGAATTTGTGTTTGGCGTACAACACATACTTGTGCCTCCGCAGAACAAGAACTCCTCAGCAGACACCTTCTGAAATGAAAATAATTTTTAAAGTTTAAACTTTTGGCCTAATCAGGATCGTCAATATATACGATTTAGCTGATTAGAGCGTGGAGCAAATCACTCGAAAAATCTTGAAAAATATAACCTCAAAATAAAACCTCAAAATCTTTAAAAATCTATTTTAAAAAATCCCAAGAAATTCCTCTTTTCTGGTACACTAGCTCTCAGCAAGTGATTTGCACCTTGGGTAAAACAGCGCAAATCAATGAATGTATTTGCTAGAGACTATAATATAAGAGAACAACATTATACTTGAATGCAACTACATGTAAAAGCTAAGTAATATAATAATTATGAAGGAAAATCTAGTAGATGTACAACTAAACCAAACTACTGGGTGTACCGTGTAGGTATTTGGAACAGAGTTTAAATAGAACTGATCGTTTAGCATTGTGGTAATGGTAATCCACATCCCGAAAGTGAATACCACATTGAGCAAAAACTAAATCAATGTGTATAAAATTTTGCATGAATATACCTCCACTGATTTTGTAGATAATGTATCGATATCATATTCTGGAAGATGATATTCCACTTGTCTGGATAGATTGATCTGAAAGAGTAAAAGATGTGGTGTTTAAAATCATACGGCAAAACAACCAATTTGTCTCAGTAGTTTTTGACTTTATGAAAACATTAGTTTACGTTTGGTGTAGAAATGAGTATTGCATGATCTTCATCAGCACCATATTCTTCCAAACTGGCTTGACAATCAGCCTAAATACGACAAAGTCAACTCAGAATTTATAAGAATCCTCTTTTTACCATTTGGAGGCGACATGTTGCAATCGAAAAACGTATTATTAAGTGCAATACATTAAATATTTTGTGTCATTACGCTGCAGAAGGTGATTTTTGCAATGACCAATGGCAATGTGAGAGATGAGCACGTTAATTATTTTGGTTGCAGACTATATGTGGAGTGTACCTTGTACAGTTCAGAATTACCCATTCCCCAATTGAGCAGAGGACTGTGTCTAGTTGATGTTTGGAGGGACGTTTGGAGGGACAACAAGTTATAGTGAGTGAACTAAATATATATCAAAAGATGCCTTATTATAATTGTTGCGTTTCAGGCTGCACAAATAACTTTAGGAATGTAGGAAAACTTTCTAGATGCCATATTGGGTAAATTGTTTAATTTTTGTCCCATTCTCGTACCCAGAGCCCTTCTTACGCGTGGTCAACAGCCACAGCTCCTCGTCACATCGCGCGTAAGAAGGGCTCTGGGTACGAAAAAATTATGACCCACCCCTTTTCCAATTTTTTCTGAAAAAATTTTTTTCATACAAGAACCCCCCCCCCCCAACTTTTTTAGGTAAAAAAATTTTCCAGACAAGTACTTTGCAATTGCTTTCCAAAGACTTTATCTTAATTTTTCATACCAAATTTCGGTACTTAGCCAAAAAAAACAGATATCTTGTTCTTTGCGCGGAAATTTTTAACACAAAAAAATTGCTGGGGCCCAATCTTCTGCATATTTTTACATGGCCCACCCTTATGATTGCGCTTAACTTTCGATGACCCACCCCTTTAACCGTGCTCAAAAATAGTGACCCACCCCCTATTTTTCCCAGCCCACCCCCTTTTACTTTATTACGTTTGCATAAAAGCCTTAATTCGAGAGTCCCAAAAGTCTGAAAAAACGCAACTAAAAACTCTCAAAGGCCTCAAAATTTGCACAGATATCTGGAAAATCTAGTAAAAAGTAATGACCATTTCTAATAGTCCGCTATGAAGATATCTGCAGTTACTAAATACAGTAAGAAGTTCTTACGAACATTCACCTTGTCCTAGCTCAACAACTTTTCCCCAAATTTGTTTAATTTCGGTTGCAATCTTCAAGTTGACACCACGTAAAGGTTTTTGCTTGCTGTTGTGCAAAGGATGTTTGCATGTCATCTCGATGTAGTGGGCATATAGTCAGTGCTTCGCCGTCGCTTCCCTGCTGTCCTACCCTTGCAAGAAGTAACTGCCACTCTTCCTCAATATCAACGTTTGATGTTCTGTGTGATGAGCAAAGATGAGCTTTTGTGTTCTTCTTACAGGATTTTAATGGTACCACTGATATTAGCGATTTATAGTAGCTTGATGCACCACATCTTTTTTCCGAAAACAACGCGAAAGAACAACCTATGGATGCCATAAACGTTCTGACAATTTTGAAAAATGCCGCCACAAAATAACCGCTTTGTTTACCTTTTTCTGCAGGCCCCCTTTCTGCTGCGCTGTCTACACGACGTGCGAAAGCTTTCGAAAGCTTTGTAATTTTGTGGAAAGGCAAAGAATATCTGTTTCACTTCACTGCACATGACGAAATAGTGAGAATTTTAATGTCAACAAAAGTTTTCAAGTTTCCAGTTATTAAAGAAATGTGGTAAGTTTTATTAATTAATCAGTCTATTCATCCGGACAACGTCAAGCTGGGAAGATGACATTCTAGACTTGGCTTTCTTCCATGCCACGTGTTTTTGAGTTTATCAATGCAAATTCCTTGGTAATACGTATTTATAATCCGTCATGTGCTTTAACAACTTGCAAAGCAACAGTGTAAACATGAAAATTGTTGTATTTTAATATATTTGCTTGTTTTTGTATCGGATTCTTTGACAATAACATTGCTTCCACTTACCAAGATAAGAAACATATTAAAATTTCAGATTAATTGAATGAAAGGTGATCAGGTTATGTGAATCTGGTCAATTTTCATGTCAATTGCTACACAAGACATATCGATCTGCATTACTACCCCAACTAACCTGAGATTGTTTTAATTAATCTTTTTGAAATTAGGACTAAATATGCCGTACTTACCGAGACTGGAAATATATTTGAATTTCAGATTGATTGAATGAAAGCTGATGGTTATGTGAATCTGGTCAATATTCTCGTCAAGCCCTATACAAGTAATTACGCAGAGATTGTTGTATTTAATTATTAATGATTCTTTCTCAAATTTTGGAAATATCGGACTATATAAACTACCCAGAATAGAAACATATTTAAATTTCAGTTGGATTGGATGGACGCCAGGGACGCCGGAGCGATAAAAGGGCAGGAGGGGCAATGCGAGCATGAAGAGCAGTCGGTAGAAAATTCGTAGCCACGCCCTTTTGATGGGATTTCGATGATTTCCAAATTTAACTTATTAAATCATTATTTCTATGTACAAATAGGTACTGCAGAACGAAAGCAATTGGAAATTAGCTTTATCAATATGACGAACAGTCTACCAGTTAATTTAGTTTATTCTTTTAATCTGTGTTTAGCGGGTAAACTCAACTTCTACACCAATAATATTTATACTAAAAGTACACCTTTGCCCCCATTAGGAAAGGGCAAGGGGCATGCTTGCCCCCACGCCCCCCTCTCTGGCGTCCCTGATGGAAGCCGACGGTTATGCATGTATCTTGTTAAATTCCGTGCCAAGCCCTTACAAGACATATACAACACTAGCTGATCGATATGCAAGCATGCCTGAATCAGGCAGAGAGTGTTGTATTTAATCAATCTTTCTGAAATTAGGCGGAAATATGACTCAGTTACCGAGACAAGAAAATATTTAAAGTGCTTATGTCACAATTTTTTTTTACTTTTGAGTAGAGGACAAAACGTTAGTTAATAGGTTCTTTAACATTTTTCGATTTTCTCTTTTCATTCGCGAAATATTCTAAACAGCAATTGTTCATGGCACTGGGGATTTGGAAGCCAAGTTTAAAACACTAACGAGGATTTGAAATTGCTTCTCGCACATTGTTAGACTTTCATAGCAATGAGGCATGAAATTATTAGATATTCAAAAAAGTGGGAGTGGGACATAACAATTGCATTCGCTTGGAAGTTTGCATGAAGTGTAACGAAGCATTTCATCGTGAATAGACGAATTACGAATGCTTTTGTCATGAATAGATTAATTTTGTTAGCAAAGGAGCATGGCATCTTATAATATAAGAAAAAGCGGTTTCGAGAACCAGAAAGTGTTGAGCATAGTATTGAAAATGTAAAGAAAGCCACTCGCAATCGCTGACAAGGATGGAGGTCCGAAAAAACAATATATCAGATTGTGTGTGCGATAAGGCTCTATCTGGTGGAAAATGGAAGAGCAAGCCGAAGTGAATATACAGGTTGAGTAAAAAAAAAAGCTGATACCTTCGCAGCTAATCTACGGTGGCCAGTTAGGGCCATCCTCAATTTTTATTTTATTACGTTTTAATTTTTTTCTGATTACCATTTTACTTACCCTCGTTTATGCAGTTAGTTTTCAGCTTATTTCAAAATATCGACTTATAACACGAGATCTCGACTTATAAAGCGAGATATCGATTTAGAATACGAGATCTCGACTTATAACATGAGATCTCGACTTATCACAAGATCTCGCCTTATAAACACGAGATCTCGACTTATAAACACAAGATCTCGACTTATAACACGAGATCTCGACTTATAACACGAGATCTCGACTTATAACGCGAGATCTTGACTTAGAACACGAAATCTCGACTTATAACACGAGATCTCGACTTGATAACACAAGATCTCGACTTAGTTTACACGAGATCTCGACTTATAACACGAGATCTCGACTTATAACGCGAAATCTTGACTTAGAATACGAGATCTCGACTTAATTTACACGAGATCTCGACTTATAACACGAGACCTCGACTTATAACGCAAGATCTTGACTTAGAATACGAGATCTCAACTTAATCTACACGAGATCTCGACTTATAACACAAGATCTCGACTTATAACACGAGATCTCGACTTAGTTTACACGAGATCTCGACTTATAACACGAGATCTCGACTTAGTTTACACGAGATCTCGACTTATAACACGAGATCTCGACTTATAACGCGAGATCTTGACTTAGAATACGAGATCTCGACTTAGTTTACACGAGATCTCGACTTATAACACAAGATCTCGACTTATAACGCGAGATCTCGACTTAGTTTACATGAGATCTCGACTTATAACACGAGATCTCGACTTATAACGTGAGATCTCAACTTATAACGCAAGATCTCGACTTATAAACACGAGATCTCGACTTATAACACGAGATCTCTACTTATAACGCGAGATCTCAACTTAGAACACGAGATCTCGATTTATAACACGAGATCTCGACTTATAACACGACATCTCGACTTATAACACGAGATCTCGACTTATAACGCGAGATCTCGACGTAGAACACGAGATCTCGACTTATAACACGAGATCTCGACTTATAACACGAGATCTTGACTTAGAATACGAGATCTCGACTTATAACACGAGATCTCGACTTATAACACGAGATCTCAACTTGGAACATCATCTTGAGAATTCTGGAATTTTATTGTATCAAAATGCATATACTGTATGGTTTCATGCTTTCAGTCGAACTGGTCAGCAATATGGCTTCCTTATACCATATTTTTATCATTTCATTGTTTTGGATGTTTTGCGATGCTTTACCACCATACATTCCTGCTATAAGTGCAGGGTTACAAAACGACTGTGATTTTTGCATTACTCGGTACTTTAATCTAGGTTTTTGGTATGGCGAAATTCTTGGATTTCTTGTTGTTGTTCATGGTATACATTTGAGTCTCCGACAGCTGAAGAGAATCTTATGCAAGAAAGGCTTGAAAAAAAGGGAAGCTATGCAAGATCCAGAGAACCTAATATCTGCAATTGAACACGAAATATCTAGAAGTAAGGGGGTCATTGGGTTATCGTCAGATGCAGCTAAGACTCAGACTTGATTATGGAATCATAGTTGACAGAGAAACAGTTCGAAAGAGTCTCGTGCTACTAGATCCCGAAGGAGTTCGTCGAAGATCGCGTCACAAATTGAAGAGAAGGCAGTATTTTTCCAGGGGGCCAAATTACATTTGGCACATTGATGGCTACGATGATAAACTTAAGCCTTTCGGGTTTTGTGTGCACAGGGCTATAGATGGTTTTAGTCGTCGGATACTGTGGCTTGAGGTAGGTCATTCAAACAACAATCCATGTGTTATTGCCTCATATTTCTATGCAGCTCCGTGGTGTCCCCCTTATGCCGTGGCAACGCAGGAACAGAAAATGGTATGCAACATTTCTTCAGGCGAGATGGAAATGATGCATTTTCTCAAGAAAAAAGTTTCTTATACGGGCATTCAGTTTCGAATCAAAGAATAGAGGCCTGGTGGTCTTACTTTTGTAAAACAGATACAAACTGGTGGATGAATTACTTCAAAGATTTACGAGATCAAGGAATTTATGATGACAGCAACCCCATACACGTAGAATGCTTAAAGTTTTGTTATATGCCTCTCCTTAAAGAAGAGTTGGACCGCATAGCTCAACAGTGGAATTTGCATATGATTTGTCAGTCTACAAATGAGCAATTGCCTAGTGGACGGCCAGACACGATCTTCTTTACCCCTGAAGCATTCGATTCCACGTCATATTTACAAGATGTCGACCCGCTGGATTTATTAGTAGCGAAAGATACATGTTGCAAAATTCCCCAATATGCTTCCTTCGAAACGTTTTCCGAACTTGCTCAAATAATAATGAGTGAAAACAACATCGAATCACCAGGGACTGATATCAACAAGGTTGAACAGTTATATATCAATCTAATCGGACATATACAAGATATCGATCTTGTTTAACATTGGGGAAAGATCTGGCTAATGGATATATTAACCATATCATTGTATATATAAGATAACATAATATTGAAGTAGACAACTAATTTTCACTGAGAACTCGTTCTTATCTGACAAAAGAAAACACGTTATTATGTAATTTAAAAACTATATGTTATTTGTAAAGACAGTCTTTATTATGAACGGACTGAGCGTTGAACATTGTTTTAATAAAGTGTACAAAAAAGAATATAAACATGATAAAACCATGTGCCACTATTTAGCCTGCACTCAATAATATTAACCTTCTACTGATGATTTCGCCACAGCATTTCTCAACATATAAATTCAACATATATGCCTAATTAATTAAATTCTTATGTCTACATGTATCTATATAGGCATTCAATAACAAATGTCAAAAGTCAATTAACAACCAAATTTGAATGTTGTTCCTGGAATCGCTTTTCATGGGATCAGTCACATAGCATATAAAGCGATTCACTACACGAGTCTTGTTTAGCATTAGATAAGCTACATAATCTTAATCACTTAAGTCCCACAAATATGGATTACGAAGGTAAAAGTCCTGTTCTTCCTAAGCTGCGTAAAAGATGTGTAATTTCCTGGCAAAACGATGATACCAAAACAAGTGCGCGAGATTTAGGATGAATGGCTGCTGGAGGCATGAACTCGGTGGATACTTTAATGTGGCATTCCGGTCGCATAACATCAGTTGCAGTATAGAAACGGAGGAAGTTGACAAGTGCTTCATCACTACATATTTTGAGATACCGTTGCAGCCATCTCATGATTTGACCATTTTTGGGATCTTGATGTACCATATATATTTGGTCAATGATACGTTGCGTTGTTGGTTGACAAAGATTATATATAGATGCAATTTCCTTCTCACTCACATCGTCCCACATTGGGCCCATACCTCAGCGAATCCTAAGCAGATATAGATAAGGCTTCTGTGCTAATTCATTTCTTCCTATTTGGGTAATAAGGGAAGCTAAATTCGCAGTAGTCGGCAACGTGTTGATGTTGTAATCTTCTAATATTTTCCCATTATTTCATCCTGGGAAAATACCGTGCTATCACTTAAACCTTTCTCAATTATTTCTCTCTCTCTAGGAGGCAAGAGTTTAAGAAACGAAGCAATCAGCGTCTCTGGGGACACATCGCCAAGCAGTGCTTGTGTGATAGATTCTTGAGAAATTCTAACAGGAAAAGCACCACATTGAACAAATTGATGGGTGACGATTCTCCCGATGCTTACGTAGTCTTCACAAGTGAAATGAGGTGCCATTGGAATTGTGAACTCAGTTTCACCCATGGTATTGTTAGCCAACAAATTGTCCCAAAATAAAGAGTATGCCTCTCTTAGTACTCCACTTCCAACAGCGTTTTCTTGTCCTGCAATCTCCATTAGAAGGCGACTATTACTGATGCTGGGATCCTTGTACAGTTCGATGAGATCTTTCACTATGTTATCTTTTGTAACTTTGATGTTCCATACACCCTGTATTTAGTCATATGCAGATTTTCTTTTTTCCTCTAAATGACTATAATGTTCTTTGCTGGATTGTTCACTTTCACTTAATGGTTTGTCATCTTCCATCCAGATATCAGGAATGGCGCTTCTTGTCAAAGAGAAATAATAAAGAAAAAAGGTAAGAATCACTATATATATAGTTTTCTGCTCATCCCCCACCCCCCATTTAAAATTAATTTTAAAACGCCTTTTCAGTAACCGCCCATCATAACCAAAAAAAATTATGCCCTTTTTTGAGAAGGCAAATTTCCCCCTTTAAGAAATGGCCATCATAACTAAAAAAAATTCATGCCCTTTTTGAGAAGGCGAATTTCCCCCTTTAAGAAAGGGAGGCGTGTTCGAACTGTGTAAGTTAAAATTGAATGTAATATTTTTTGCCAAATTTGATTTTCTCTGTTTTTTATTACTGCGCAACAAAAGTGTGAGTTTACAATGGTAACCTAAAAACTTATCCTACTTAACCCTCCACATGTGAGACCGGTATTTACTCTAACCTTAATTAAAGATCTAAGTGTTGGTTTTAACGGCCAGACAGTAGTGGTGTTCTGGGCCAGTACGCCTGTATATGTTGCAGCCTGGGCCGTTGCGACGACTTTGTGTTGGGGGGGGGGAGGTTAGATTTAACTGAGTTTTTCCAATTTAAGGTGGTTCAATACAGTTTTTAAAAAAATGGAAAATTCACGATTTAGAAGCGTATTTTTGGACAATACCTTACTTATATAAAACAACATCTGGCGCCGATATTTTGGCTTTAAAGTAATTTAACTCATAAACGACATCGGTGACCCCCGTATTTTATTTAAAAAAATGATTTCTCTTGGTATAATCAATTATTGTGACAATTTAAAAAAAATTCAGTGGACCAAAAAAAAATTATGAATAATTGTCGTTTACGAGTTAAATTACTTTAAAGCCTAAATATCTGCCAACTTCAAACGTCATTGTTGCCATAGCAACGGCAGTTGCATAACTTTTGTGCAAAAATTCAAACTCCTTAGATGTTGTTTTATATAAGTAAGGTACTTTTTGTTTATCAACAAGTAATAATTGTCCAAAAATATGCATCTAAGTCGTGAATTTTCCATTTTCTTAAAAACTGTATTGAGCCACCTTAACGGTTTTTGCCTGATTTTGGGACTCGAGTCCCATTCAATTTGAAAATTTGAATTCTCTAGACCGTCGGAAATAGCATTTTTTTAGTCTTTCCTACCCAAGATTTCAATGTTTTAGTACTGCTTAACAATGGAGATGAGAAAAATAACTACTGATCAATATAACAGTGTTACTTAAACAATTTAATGTGACTAGGAAAATTGAGAAAATTTCGGAAATTTGGAGTCTCCGGATCGTTAGAAATGGTATTTGGTCATGTCCCCGTCAGAAAGGGTATTTGGCCACGCGTCTGAACTTCTTTAACTAGTTGGTCAATTGTCTAATTCTAATTCAGAGCACAGAGTTCCTTTTTTATGCCCTGAGAATTACCTGAATTCACCTGAAAATCTGCTGGAAATTTACCTCAAATTACTCATGAAAAATTATGTGGGGGTGGGAGATGTTGCACTCCCCACATCCCCCCGATCGCTATGGCCCTGGTTGCAGCGTTAACAGTAAATAAAAAGTTTGAATCATTCATAATAATAATCAAAAGATATCATCCATGGCTTGTAAGATCCACGCTGGTGCCTACCCAGTTGTATCAGGAAGGATGTCGTTTTCTGAAGCAAGCACTTCTTGTTGTTCACAAACTTGCACTGGGCTCGTTGATACTTCCATGTAGAGAGTACAGTTCGCCACATTTGCAATTGGATCAGACGGCATAATAATTTGTCCTTGGCATTGAGAAAGAATGAAGTGCTCTGGATGAAGTGCACAAGAGCCAACCCAATCATAAACTGCCTGCATGCTATCTAGGACTGAAAATGAACGAACAATCTTGCCCATGAAGATATGATTCACGGCTATTCTTACACAAGGAAGCTGTGGATGTGGTTCTGGTGGAATGTTTTCGAGTCTCACTTGTCTAAGTTGTTCTAAACGGGTTTTTTCGTTTTCTTCCATTTACTTGGCTGCTGATATACTGTTTTCCTTATGACGATCATTATCTAATGATTCTTGCAATAACTGGTCTTGCTCTTCCATTAGTTTTTGCCTTTCTTCTGAAGAACCAATAAGTGTTGTACCACTATCGAAAAAGGGGTGCATTAGAACTTCATCGTCGTTTTCACTTCCATTTTCTATTATGATTTCTTCATTATCTGATGTGCTCATTTTAATGTCCTCATCTGTGAGTCCTCTATCCTCATTGTCGACGTCTAAAGAATCAATCGGTATATGCCTAGTTGTCAAGTAGAGTCGGACTTGTGTCAGTTTGTTCATTTCAATGTACTTTTGTATAGAGAAAGGCTGTTTATTATCTTCATCACCCAGAATGCCGATGCTTTCTCCTTTGAAATTGGCAAGATCAAAAATCATGTTGTCAGCTTGTCCTTGAGAAGATTCGCCACTTGGATAAAACAATTTCTTGCCTTCTTCAATAAGCATCTCCTTATTGAAATGGCTCCCAACATCTAATCTTCTGGTTCCTCCTCCACTGTTTAGTCTCACTGCTACAAACAGTTCTTTTTTTCTCAGAATAATGAAGCCAACCAAGAAATATTTTACATGTCTTATATTTTTCAACAGGTCTCTTAAGAGGCTGCTATCTCTCTAAGAACCGACCAATGGCTCTAGGCTCAAAAAATGAAATTCTTCGTTACTTTCACAATGAAATGTATTTATCCCAAGAATAAACAAACACGGTTTGGAATTTTGAAATTTTATTTTTAAAATTTCAGCGATTTTCCGTCGCGCAGAATCCTCTGTCTAAGTAGGCATAAGAATTAGCCGAATGCAAATACATATAATTTTAAAAGTGTTCAACCTAATTTTATGATTTTTTCGCCCACGAACGTGAAAGTTATTCTACTTTGAAACTTACCTGATTTTATGATGCTTTTACAAAACTATTATGGCAAACTTTAGCGATAACAAGCACCAAGTCCAAATAAGACTTTGTACACATATCAAATTCGTGTACTTTGTACACATGGATTCAGTGACTAACTGGATTCCTAACTGGATTCAGTGACTAATATGGTCGAAAACAGGGAAGTTTGAAGTACCAATATCCACAATAAAACTTGTTACCCACCGCGATTTGAATACTCCAGAGCCTCTGAAATTTGTTACCTTCAATTATGGCGGAGTTGAGACGTCAGAGCTTCCAGTCATTTGTAAAATGCGCTGTCGTTCCGGGTTTTTTTTTCGTACAAGCCGTTAAGCGATTTTTCCATGTTCACGAACATCACAAGTTGTTTTAATTTGAAAAGATTTGGCTCGATGCAGCGAGGTAAACGTTACGGCGAGGTTTGGCACTTCCCATCATAAACAGTTTAATCGTGCAACAATTACTGCCATTTATTAGCAGAAAACCAGCAACATGACGAATTGTCTTGTTTCTATGGCTTCTCTTCCGTGTGATGCACAGCAATACATCAGTATATATTTGACAATTTCGTTTCCCAACTATATCTTCACATGATACTATACATTATAGGGGTAATTTATGCATTAATTAACATTCCCCATTTTAAATACATCGTGAACAGTTTCTACCATTATTCTGGCCGACGTTTCATATAAGAGTCCCCACATGCCCTTACCTACCCACACCCCCAGTACGACTCTGCCCCTTATCCCATACCTGTGTTAAAAGCGGCTTTCTGATTGGTTTAGAGCAGGTGAGTTTGTTGTCAAGCTCACCTGCTTTTTGCCGAACTCACCTGCTTTTTGCCCGAACTCACCCGCTAAACTGCTTACATTGCAATAACAATAACAAATATGGCGGACAAGATTTAGCCAATAAACCTAAACTTTAAAGAACTTTTTTCGGTGACTAACATACTGAGACTGAAGAAAAACCAAAGAAAAAATGCAGTAAAGGTAATGTAGACGTAGATAAAGAAGTATTTTCTTGCCGAGTGATTTTTTTGGCCGGGAAAATGTTCACAAAATATCGACGAATATATCGCGAAGAGCTACAAATGTGTGTATGGCTCGGTGTAATGGCATAAAAACCAAACGTACTTCCAGGTTCGGTGAGTCTGGGATTGGACGCACCTCGGGTGGCTGGAAGTTTCCCAAACTCACCTCGCGTCCGGGAAACTTCCAGCCACCCTTAGTGCGTCCAATCCCGGTCTCACCTCCCTGCAAGTACGATTGTTATAAAACCCAACCCTACCCCAACCTCGCGTTTTTGTGACGTCGTTTGAAAAATCTTGTATGAAAATAAATTTCACCCTTTATTAGCTCTCCTTAAGGAGGCTCCCTACAGTTCCGTGCGGGATGTTCGCGGGACAAGTACGTGAATTATCCCACGCAACTGCATGATCAAAACAAAACAAAAATTGACCATGCTTTTTTTAAAAATAAAGCTATTTCTGAAAGGTTTCTAATGGAAAAAAGCGTTGAATAATACATCGTTTTGAGTGCCAAATCACTTGCGAGTCTATACAGCAATTCTAAATATGATACGAATATCACTAGACCAAAAAATAACTACGAAACAATATTTTTATTTTTTTTGTACACTGTCAACTGACTCAACTGTAAAACATTTGCAAAATTGCATACAAACGTTTAAAAAGTTGTTTACTTCTCAAGAAAACGTTCACATTTTTAGTCGTGTTTCTACAAGATTAAAGTGATTATATGTAAACAGAAAAATATTTCAGTTTCATAGCCTAATTGTTCATTTTTAGCAAAAAGTACAAAACCAAACATGAAACAAAAAAACACGTCCACCTGTTAATAGGCTGTTACAGCTCATAGATTGAGTAAACGGCAGGATTCAATTAGCTTCAACCTTGTTTTCATCGATTTAATCCTTCACAATAATCCTTGGCTGTCCATAGCACTCAAATAAATCGAAAAGTTGACAAAAACAAAACAGTAAAAACAACATTGTGGCTCGATTTTGCTGAATGAAAACTTGTTCTGCGCCCGCGTACAATCTTTTACTAGTCAGCGACGCTTTTCAATAGGGGAATTTCTCGAGTTACACAAGACTATTTTCTAACTTTATTTGCATTTTACTCATTAGTTTCATCGGTGACCTATCTTCAAATTTTGACCACAAAGTTATTTTGCGGTAAATTTTATAAATTTCAAATTTTAAAAAAATCTGTAGTGTGGAAATTTCGCAATAAATTTTTCGCTTTTAAAAAAATCACACACTACAGAATTTTTTAAACCTTCACTACAGTTGCAGAGCATCATTCCTTATTGATATATGAAATAAAAAAGATAGGTCACCCACATCGTTTTTGAGATAGCGGCACATTTATGGGTTAAATTGGAAGGCTTTAGGCTGTCGTCATGTTGCCATGGGAACATTGACATCGTCGAAATCTAGTTCGAAATATTCCTTAGGTGACCAATATTGCCACCAAGTCGAAAAGAATTCGCGTTCTGAACGAATAAGCCTGTTTTACGGAATTATTGCTTAAATAAGAATAACTGTAGGGAGCCACCTTAAACAAATTCCATGTGAAGTTGATATAAACGTCCTCAAATGACATCACTATAGAGGTGGGGTGGGTGTAGGGTAGGGGTCGGGATAGAGTTGGGGTGGGGGTCATTTGGAGACTATTCCATATATGACTATTCTATTAAATTTCAATCAAGCCCTGGTTGAAACACTAATCAAAACCCTTATTCAAACTATAATCCAAATCCAATTCAATTGGCATGCACGATTGCAACTGGATCTTTTTATAATAATCAGTATCTATAGTAGTCTTCTAGATCAAGTCTTTTTTCCGGTTTAAATTCATTTCCAATCGTGCAGAATTTGCCAGAATAGACATACAGAGTTTAGATTAATAAATATCAGCATTGAAAATAATTTCCGGGTTTTCCCCGAGTAGTTAAATTTTAATACGAAAACGTACCACGTTTACCTCGCTCGAAATCTTTTCGAATTAAATCCACATGTGATGTTCATGAACAAAGAAAAATCGCTTAATTACGATGATATTAACGGCTTGTGTAAAAAAAACAATGGAACAACCGCGCATTTTACAAGTGACTGGAAGCTCTGACGTCTCAACTCCGCTATAATTGAAGCTAAACAAAATAGCCAAATTGTATCAAATTTCAGAGGCTGTCGAGTCTTCAAATCGCGGTTGGTAACAAGTTTTATTATGGATATGGGTACTTCAAACTTCCCTTTTTTTAACCATATTAGTCACTGAATCCAGTTAGGTGCCACTTTTGAGAAATTTAAAGTCGAATTTGATATGTGTACAAAGCCGTATTTAGACCCGGTGCTTGTTATCGCTAAAGTTTGCCATAATCGTTCTGTAAAGGCATCATATAACAAGACAAGTTTCAAAGTATAATAATTTTCACGTTGGTGGGTGAAAAAATCATAAAAGTTGGTTAAATACTTTTAAAATTATATGTATTTGAATTCGGCTAATTTTTATGCCTGATATAGGCAGAGGATTTTCTGCGCAACGGCGCTGGACCAAAAAATCGCTGAAATTTTAAAAATTAATAAAATTTCAAAATTCCAAATATTGTTTGTTTGTTTGTTCTTGGGGTAAATACATATCATTGTGAAAGTAACGAAGAATTTCATTTTTTGAGTCGAGAGTGATCGGTCGGTTCTTAGAGAGACAGCCTCTTAAACATGCTGGAACTATAATGTTTGTCAACAGATTTGTTCCTTTTTTTTTGGCTTCCTGTTTGCAGTTGTGCCAGAAGTTTCCTCTTTCTATCTTCATAATCGTTTTTCCATCCACTACATTCTTACTGGTAAATGTTAATTGACGACGATGACAAAATGCTTTCAAAGCAAAAATATCCCCTTTTGCATGTAGCCCTAAATCTGTAAGACATTCATGTGTAGCTGATGATACGGCTGCAACATCCATCGATTTCAAAAGAAAATTAATTTATGTTATCACTGTTAATTATACCATTCATATAAGATTTACTTGAACTATTGATACTTATGTTGTACTTAATATAGAAGCATGCTGATTAACTTTATATATCTTGGTTGGAGTACATGAAGTACCTCCCCAGATTTTGGGAGGTAAATTTAAGGTAAGAGAGGAGTATGTTTGAAATCAAAAGTGGTCAGTCTGTCCCAGTTCAAATTATCATGACAAAGTTCCTACACTATACATGTCATGTTTTTAGGTGTAAATATTTTTGTTGAATACGTTCCCCAGCTGCCAGATAGATTTAGTGCTCAATCACGTCATCAACACACAAATTTGCATTTATGTGATAAGGCTGTTTTCCATCATTAATAGCAATACATAAAATAAAAGTCAGATAGATTGTATAGCTTTATTTACAAGAAACCTACTAAAGGAACCTTTATGCCTTCCAGAAAGCAATTAATACAAATTACAAAACCTTTGTACTATTGCAGGTAACAACAAATCTTGGCAAAGGATATGATTCCGATACAACCAATCAAAGACAAAAATAGAAATTGAACTGTTTGCGCTTCAGTTTAACTGTACATAAATAGAAAAAAATGCAAAAATGGAAACAGATTCAACATATTGCCTAGAACTAGACTCGTACTCCTTGCATTTGCAAACATGCAACTAACCCAAATGTCAGCCTTTGCGATACAGCCTGACATGACATTTGCATATGCAAGCTGTTCATTTTATGCTTGTTTGTTTCAAAAACATAAATAGCAAAACAGGCCACAAGCGGCCTACGCAATCCACAAAAAATTCAGTGATTATTTTCTGTATTACTGTATATACAAATATAAAAGCATGGATTGCCTGGGCCTCCTTTATCCAGGGCTGTAGCTATACACGATAATTGGGGGGAAGGTGGTATTCATGTTCACATACCGTAAAAACAATCGCCTTCAAAAGAAATCCGTCGGGCAGAGTACAAATACATGAATATGCACCCCCCCCCAAAATTAGCGGTCTACCTACAGCCCTGGTTTCATCAAAGTAATACTAGCCAACTAGGCCATTTGCTGTGACCTCGATAAGTGCTCATAGATTTTCATTAAGCATGTCTTGGAACTATTCCTCTTAATTTAGAAGTCACTGGTTAATCAATATTAAAACAAAGAATAAGGTGAAACTTGCTCGTGCATGAAAAATCATTGTATTTTTTTTGTTCCCTATTGTGCAATCTAGTCTTATTTTATCTTTTTTCATATTTCTTTTTTTTTAATTTGTAAATAATTATGTTTTTTCTGTGTTGGTGTTGTGTGTACTCAGGTGAATATGATATTTGTGATGTTACTCTGAGTGTATATCCACACCGGGCGAGCTTGGAAAATATGCCCGGCCACGGTGGGAATCGAACCTACGACCTTTGGAATACTAGCCCAATGCTCTGCCAACTGAGCTACGCGGTCAGGATGGATACTACTACCTTTGGAATAATACTCGAACCGTCCTGACCGCGTAGCTCAGTTGGCAGAGCATTGGGCTGGTATTCCAATGGTCGTAGGTTCGATTCCCACCATGGCCGGGCATATTTTTCAAGCTCACCCGGTGTGGATATATACTCAGAGTAACATCACAAAGATCTTAAATAGCTATTTAAATTCTATTCATAGAAAGTTGTGGGAAACTTTGTTCAAAATAGCTATAAAATAGCTATTTTTAAACTATGTTTGCTTTTATTTTTAGAGCTATTGTTAAAATAGTTATTAAATAGGAGAATAAATAGATCTTAAATAGTTATTTAATTCCTATACATAAAAAGTTGTGGCGAACTTTGTTCAGAATAGAATGATTTTTAAACTGGTCAATTCCCCAGTTTGAGTTAATTTAAAATTTTTCAAATCAGTTCTGTGGAAAATGTATTGAGAATGCTCATGGTCGCCCAAGAGACTCTTATTCCTCGAGCTAGCATGCGTTGTTTAGACTGTGGACCACATCAGTTTTACTGTAGTGATTGTGTATGAACTATTGAATGAACTATTTTGATGTTGTGGAAGTCTGGAAGGTAATTAATATGTAGTGATAGTCACCCGATATCACTAAGCGGATATTGTGCTGTTTTGGCTCAAAGACATTAACAACTTTTGGAACTTCTCCAAACATTATTTTTAGTCATATTATTTTAAACCTTTTAGGAAGTAGACTCGCCTAGATTTAATCTTTACGCCGCAAATACTATTAACATAAAATTTCCTCTTGGCAGCCAACACTTGTACATCTTTATATCTTGTTATCACTTCTAGCCTAATTGTATTAACACGCCTTAATTATCTTGACACTAAACTTAATTGCTTTTCTGCCTTGCCTCTACTAACTCGCGTATAAAATAACTTGTAAATATTCTTAGTAAGACAGTCTTCGCTTTGCGCTCTAGTGAGTAATCATGCTCAACTCATCACTAGATATTAAATGACGACTCCACAATTGTGAAGTAAAATAAATGTATCAAATTATCTATTAGCATTCTATGTATTTTCACAAACACTATAACAAATCAATACTCGCGCTAAATGGATAGTCAACTAAGCAATGGATAGTCAACAGTCACATGCTTCATCTTCAACAGTTTCAACCTCCAACGAGCAACCTACAGCATCAGTGGTGACCTCCATCAGCATCAAACTCCCACCTTACTGGCCAAGCGATCCAGCACTTTGGTTTCCCAAGTTGAAGCCCAATTCACAACCAGAAGCATCACTGCAGAACGCACAAAATACACGTATGTTGTTGGTGCACTTCAACCCGAAGTTGCTCAAGAAGTCCAAGACCTTCTCATCAACCCTCCTGCAGAAGAACCCTACACCAATCTGAAAACCAAACTTGTCAAACGCACCTCCACGTCTCAGCAAAAACAATTAAACCAATTGCTGCACGCCAAAGAGTTAGGAGATGGAAAGCCAACTCAACTCTACCGTCGTATGCAACAGTTGCTCGGTGATATCCAACTTGAGCCCTCCATAATGAAACAGTTGTTCCTCCAATGTCTCCCAAGCAATGCTCAACTGATTTTGGCCTCGACCACAGACAAAATGGACACAGCGAGTTTGGCCAAGATGGCTGACAAGATCGTAGAGGTCACTCCTGTGCATTTTACCCTTTCCACCGTTGTTTCCCAATCAGCACCACCACCCAGTCCACTGAAATGTGCGCCAAGGTTATGATCTTCAGCCAGCCAATTCCTCAACAATTGCTACCTACAGTACCCGATCTTTAACCATTAGCCTCGGTCTTCGACGATCCTTTCCCTGGATTTTCACCATCGCAGACATCAACCACGCCATCATCGGCGCTGATTTTCTTCGCCATTTCAACCTTCTCATTGACCTACACACATGCAGCCTTATTGACGCAGTAATCCACCTTTGTGTTAATGGTATTACTTCGCCAATACCAGCCCTTAGTCCTGTCTATGCTCCTTTCCCTCCAACTCTTTTCACGAAACTCCTCGGCAAGTATCCGGACATTACCAGAACAACAACCAAGCAAACTGCTGTTAAACACAGCGTCACCCACTACATCCTTATGTAAGGATCACCTTGCTCTTCTGGCTCCTTCCACCAGAATGACTCAAGATTGCTAAAGATGAGTTTCAACATATGTTGGACAAGGGATTTATCCGCCCCTCCAGTAGTTCTTGGGCTTCTCCACTTCACATGGTTTCCAAATCTCAACCCGGGGACTGGCGTCGATGCGGAGACTATCGTGGTCTTAATTGAGTCACCATACCTGACCAATACCCTGTGCTACATATTCAAGATTTCTCCACCAGCCTCCATGGTAAAACCATTTTCTCCAAGATTGACCTCGTTTGAGCTTATCACCAAATCCCTATGGCTGAAGACGACATTTGTAAGACCGCAATTACTACCCCTTTTGGTTTGTTTGAATTTACCAAGATGCCCTTTGGTCTTCGCAATGCAGCCCAAACCTTCCAACGTTTTATGGACGAAGTTACTTGTGGCCTCGATTTCGTTTATGTCTGCATCAATGACATTCTCATTGCTAGCACGAACGCCCTCGAACACGAAGTCCATCTACGATTACTTTTCGACCGTTTTCGACAGTATGGTGTGGTTATCAACCCCACTAAATCTGTGTTTGGTGTTTCATCTTTCGAGTTCCTTGGACAAAAAGTTACTTCACACAGTATCCAACCCCTTGAAAGTCAAAGCCATCCGTGATTTTCCCCTCCCTACATCGCTCACCAAACTTCGAGAATTCCTTGGCCTTGTGAATTTCTACCACTGGTTCATCCCCCAATGTTCTCACATCCTTCAGCCTCTCACTGACATGCTCGCTTCAACAGGCTCCACCAAGAAGACAAATACACCCCACTCCAATGGTCCAAACCAGCTACCTCTGCTTTTCAGACGATCAAGAACATCCTTGCTGATTTCACTCTACTTTCACACCCAAAATCCGATGCTGAGCTGTGCGTCATGACCGACGCTTCCGATGTTGCAGTTGGTGCCATTCTACAGCAACGAGTCAACAACATTTGGCAACCACTCAGTTTCTTTTCCAAACGTCTTCAACCAGGTACAGCACCTTCGGACGCAAACTTCTCGCAGTGTACCTTTCTATCCGCCACCACCTTCAAGCACGCCAGTTCTCTGTTGAGACAGACCACAAACAGTTGACCTATGCCTTGCACAATTCCCTCAACTGTCATTCACCTCGAGAACCACTTGGACTTAATTTCCCAATTGGTTCCCAGAATGCCAACCCAGTTGCCGATGCCTTGTCACATATCGCCACCTTAACTCCTTCGTCAACTATTGATTTTGACGCCATGGCCTGTGCTCAACACCACGACGAAGAACTCAACAAGATTCGAAATGATTCTTTGTCACCCTATACTCACCTGCAAGAACCATATTACCTGCGACATCTCCACCGGTAAACCTCGACCTTTTGTTCCCAAGGCCTTTTGCCGCACCATTTTCGACTCCCTCCACAACCTTTCCCACCCAGGCATCAAGGCAACACAACGCCTGATCACTGAATGATATGTTTGGTCCAGCATCAACTGCAATGTACGACAGTGGACCAGATCATGTCTACATTGTCAACGCTGCAAAGTTCAACGTCACACCTGTGCACCCCCGTCAAACTTCGAGATTCCAACCGCCAGATTTTCCCATGTTCCTATCGATCTTGTTGGTCCTTTACCCCCTTCAAATGGCAATTCCTACCTCTTGGCCTGCATTGATCGTTTCACTCGCTGGCCTGAGGCAATTCCCATTTCCACCATCACAGCAGAATCCATGGCCCAAGCCTTCATCACCCATTGGATCACCCGATTTGGCGTTCCACACACGATTACTACAGATTGTGGAAAACAGTTCGAAAGTCATAACTGCTGCCCTAACCAACTTCCTTAGCACTACCTGTGTTCGAATTACCGCCTACCAGCCCATTGCTAATGGTCTCATGGAATGTTTTCATCTCCAATTGAAAGCTTCTCTTAAAGCTACCAATGACCCCTCGTACTGGAGTGAACGCCTACCCCTCGTTCTCTTGGGTATCCGGACCGCAGTGAAAGCTGAGTTTGGTCACAGCGTTTCAGAACGAGTTTATGGAACGACCCTCTGTCTACCAGGAGAATTCTTTTCTCACTCCACTGATCACCCCGTTCTAGATCCAGCATTCTACGTCCACCCATTGATACGGTATCCATTGATTGTTTGAAATGTGAATGAATGAACCTATCAATGTGAATCAATGAACCTGTCATTTTTAAAACTTTGTAGTCAAAATCCCACTGTTGGGCAATGAACAGCTGTCAAAATTCCCCACTCTAGGCCTAAGATAACAAGGCACACATATGTTTAAGAAAACAATAGCAGTAAAGAGACCCTTAATCAAAGCAGCTTTGTTTTGACATTTTTGTGCTTGTCAAATGATAATGAAACACAAAAAAATGGGGAAAACCATTAAGCAGACATTTAAATTCAAATTCAATTAATATACAAAGGATATGTGTACTAACATTTATCAAAACAGTTTAATAGGCCGTTTTTATCCAATTTGTCACATTCTAGAAACTTCCTTTTATATTTTATTTCTAATATTCCATGTAAGTAAATATGGTATACTATATCTCAAAATTTAAGTTAGCCTTTTATGAATACTTAACAATTATTCGCCGAAGGCGAAGTGATTACCGGTGAATATTCACCGAGACGAAGTCAAGGTGAATATTCACCGTAATCACTGAGCGTGAGGCAAATAATTGTTTTAGTATAAATTTTTAATGAATCAAACAAAATATCCAAATATCAGTTGGATAAAAATTCAGAAATAAAACTGTTTTTGGCCTGTTCACGGTTAATACTGTCACTAACAGTGTTGCAGTGTTTCTTGTACGCACACGCTTTCAAAATGGCTTCTTGTGTGACTTTATTACTTTATTACAAAGTTGCTTTTCTCGATTTCTGCTTAGAATATAAACACAATAACGGAATAACTTTTTCACCAGGAAATGGCTGAGAAATTTGGAAAAACTAAATTTGTAAAACTATATCGTTCGAAATAAAGTTTTTAAATAATAACACTTTTCACTTTACAAGTTTCGAAAACACAATACAGCGGTCATGCAGAACACCATACAACACAATGAAAACATCATGACATATCAAAAGAAATAGTATCGTACAAATTGAGAAATCTATACAGGGATACAAAACAAAATGGATTTAAAAGAATATCACGGCAAGGTATTTCCCAATAGTTGGGCTAGTTTTTGCTATTTGTTTGATGTTTCGAAGTTTTAAATAAGTTTTAAATTGTCCGTGAATATGTTTGACACAGTCAAATAATAAAGAAATCTTACCTTTCAATTAAATACAACATTTTGTGCTTTTTTCCTTTTTCTAGGACGATTTTTTCAATATTTTGTCGATTTTGAAACCAAAGTTTGCCGATTCATTCTTTTTGAAAAGCATTATTTACTAGTCAGCTAGTAAATAATGCGTCATATTTACTAGTCAACTAGCCAATCAGAGCGTGCGAAAGTTCATTTGATATGCAAAATTTATACTAAAGCTACATATTTGAGCGACGTACCTTTTATTATAGTTTTTTCGCTATAGACATAGTAAAGCAAACTTTTTTGCGCCACCCGGTACAATTAATACAGTGCAAAGTAAACTCACCAAAAAAGCTTTGAAACTTATATAGAATACTAGGATCATCGCGAACAAAACTTTTTCCTTCCCATGATCCCAGAACGAAAGTCTCTTTTCCATTTAGAAACAAGCAAGACAAATGGCATCCAAGGCTTTCTAAATATCCTAACTATACAAGATAAAAACATCTTGTTAAAGGACTGAAATAATTTGGTTTTATGCATCATGGAATATCGCAATCTCTTCATAACTCAGTAATTGTATGGCAATATGCTCCTCCTTCAACCCATACTGTATTAATACACATAAACGAAAATCCTAAAAAACATTAAGCTCCATTGCATCATGAATCATGATCACAATTAAAATAGAAAAACAATTATAACCTATAATTTTATTAACAAATTATTTATCCAACAAGATTGGGGTTATTGATATAGTTAGCAAGGCTATATATACTTGTACTTCCTGAGCTGGTTTCCATTTTAATACAAAATTCACAATATGTAATGTAATCATATAGATAAACATATACACACCTCTTTTGCAACTAATTTTAAGTGCTGATTAATCAGCTTGTTTTTTGTCCCTTCGTCTAAATCGGAAGATCGCATTTTTTTTCGCTTCTGATTGCTGTACCCATTCAGCCTGCCCATGCTTGTTTGTTTCTCTCAACCAAACTAGATAACCCCTTTCCTTCACCTACAATATGATGACATTGTGAGATGATGAGATTGTCATTTCAATTGTTCCATGGTGGGCAGTGCTGTAACAGTTACAGTTTATTTGTAACTAGTTACAGTTATAGTTACATTACCAAAAATATAACTGGTTACCGATACAAGTTACAGACGCCAAAGTGTAACTAGTTACAGTTACAAAGTTACAATATATTTTTTGTAACTTAGTTACATTTATTGATTGCAATTAAGAACGCATACAATTCGAATGGGCCGAATGGTAATGAAACTTGCGGCAAAATTATTGGCAAAATTAATAACTATTTACTAGATGTATCTGCATGCATCTGTAAAATTCCACCAAATCGATTTTTCAATAGAATTATCAATTAAAAAAACTCTGCTATTATACAGTCTGAACGAATAGATTGGAAAAAAAACATACCTCACTGGCTAGTGGCTTCTGACTTCGCAATGAAAAAGCAGAAACGTGAATACGTGATCATGACTGGGCCAAGGCCAAGTGAAATGAGGCCAAAGACCAATTATGACGAGGCCAAGGCGCAAGTGAAGGCGAGCAACGGCATTCCGATCAGTTCCAACTGTACGTAAATTTGACGTCAATCTTTGACTTAAATTTGTGTCCTGAACGGATTCTGTTGTGTCAGATTAAATAATTCCTGTGCAGATCATTAAGAGCTTGCCTGACTGTCTATTGATTTATTTCCTTTTAAAAACGTACACAAATAGCAACGAACTTGTAATCGTTTTAATTTTATGGCATTTTTGGAAATAGTTACTGTTACAGTTACATGTTCCCAAAATGTAACAAGTTACCGTTACCGTTACTGACAAATGTAACGATTACTTGTAACTAGTTACTTTTAACGAAGTTACTTACAGCACTGATGGTGGGAATACACAAATGCTGAAATACGCTAATTGAAGTTCAGAAATGAGTTTCAATTTGTAGTTTTCTTGGTTTGAGGTTGAAATTTGTTCTGAATTATTTAGTATGTTGACCAAGGATCAACATATTTCAACCTTGAGCGATAAAATACACATGCATTAACTTTCATACATCTAAAGTACCTGACTGGAAGAAGTTAGAACAAAACAGATTGTAACCATTTGCCCCATGGATTTTCGGGTGGGTTGTCTGTTTGACTATCAATATCTTCAACTTCTCGCTGCCTCTTTTTCACAGCATAGCATTTATTTCCAATCCACTTCTACAGTAAAATTCAAACATTTGAATTAATTACATCAACAAAATTCTACATGGTAGAGACGAGTCCAAATATTTTATCTTAGACAATTATTTTACTTGCCAGTTCATTACTTGACGTTATTATGATTTCATTCTCCTCTAAAGTTAAAAGTAGCGGGGTTGTTGACATTGGTATTAGCCACCATTCGATGATATACTGTACACTTAAACTTAGAGCTGATAAGCCTCGACTTGAATACAAGGATGTGAGGAGTTTTAAGAACTACAACTCCGAGAGTTTCAAGGCAGAACTGTCTGAACTTCCATTTCATGAAACCTATCGTATTAATGATGTAAATGAGAAAATTTATCATTTCAATCAATTGTTCATAAATACTCTGGACAAACACGTGCCTATCAAACACATCAGAATTAAAGGCAGACTTAACCAGTTTATTAATAAAGAATTAAAGTGCACGATGAAACTGAGAGACAAAAAGCTGAGAATTTTTCGCCTCTCACATAACGCGGAAGATTGGGATGTCTATAGGCAACTTAATAATTCTATAAAAACATCTTTAAGAGCAGCAGAGTCCAACTTTGTCCGGAATCAAATTGAGGAATATAAAGGTAATTCAAGATCTATATGGATTTTAGGGAATGTCAATAAATTCAATTCAATTCAATTATGCAATTTTGGCAAAATTTTCATACATCTTTTGTACTGTTAATTATAATCATTAATTGTACAAAGTGGTTAGTGCACTTGCCTTTCACCTGTAAGATCGCAAGTTCAAATCTCAATGAGAATTTCTCAATGTGACGACTCGAACCCAGTCCTCATGTGAAAAGAGTAAAAGTCAATGCTCTGCCCAAAGTCGTGGGTTTTCTCCAGGTACTCCGGTTTCCTCCCACAAGGAAAGTTGACAGGGTGGGTTAGGCACATAAGTTAGGGGGCAGATCATTAATGACGTATGGACTGATAGCGGCTGCTTAAAGCGGCATTTGTAAGCTCACAGTCTACCTCGGTCTCCTTCACGCCAGTTTTGGCTCTATTAATAAATGTAACCAGTCACTGAATAACCCTGATAGGGAGTGTGCTGAGTAATACATGTATGTATGTTTGTATTACACAATTACGGTCTATAGAATGTATTTCCTTAGAGACTTCAAACATGTTTTGAACAAAATTTCTTTTCAAATTAACTTTATTACTTGAAATAGTGATCAAGAGCATAAAACCTAATGTGAAACTGTATGTTTCATTAGTTGACCTGCATCTAAGGACGTAAAGAGCTTATATTCAGTTATAAAATTTGCATAGCCAAAAATCTCAAATTTGATTGGTTACATGAAGGATAAGTGCTAATACGGTGCATAATAGCGACCTAAGTGTAGATTTTACTGTTAGATGGACAGATGAAGATAATTATATTATTAAATATATAGAGAATAATACATGGCTGTGCGGAAATAGCACTATACAGGGTGAGTAAAAAAAACCTGATACTAACCTTTGATATTCACTTATAACAAAGGTGTCTGTATAAAGCACTAATAAAGCACTATAGTTTATATAATAAAGATATATAATGTTGTTATGAACTGATCTTAAAAGTATAGATCATTCCACATTGAAGTAATGACTGCAAGATTTAAAAGGACATGTCACAATTCGACATACATTATATTAATGTTCAAACTGTTATTGTACCAGGACAAAATTCCATTCACATTACAGGTTGCATGAAACAAATTTGGTAGCATTTGCATGAATATATGAACAGAACCGTCAACTAAAGAATAAAAGAATGATCCAATAGATATACAAGCGAACTCATATGCAACTCAATGTCATAACTCGTTCACTCCTTTCAGGCTCCGCTAAAGCCTTAATTAAAGGCAAAGCGGTGAGTAAGCTATAACTGGTAACGAAATTTTCCTGTGGTAAACAAAAGTTTAACGCATACATTTCACAATGCCGCAACTCACAATAATTGTATATACTAGCTGTTGAGAAATATAGTAGGCCTATTTTTAATGTCACTAAACTAGCTTAGTTCATATATGCATAACTTAATTATATGTGAGCTTTTGCAGTAAAGACTGCAAACGTGCTATAACAAACAATTTGAGCCATGCCTCCAAGACCAAGATCTAGCGGAAATTAGACATGCAAGCCCAAAAATTTATTTGTCCAGCTGAACGAAATATGCTTCGTGAAATGTACAATTTTGACAGGCACACAGCTCGAGTATAGATTTTCTATCTATACAAATTGTCCTTTGTAGTAATACTAAAGATGACAGACAAATTCCATTGCAAACATTCCAACCGTCCCGGTTCACCCGGGACTGTCCCGGTTTGGACTATGTTGTCCCAGTGTCCCGGTTTTCTTCTTATTGTCCCGGTTTTTGTTGCATGCCATATATGGCATGCAACTTTCATATAGCTCTAAATTTCGTGTCATGAGCATACCGGTGGTCATAATCACGTGGCAGATTCGAGAAAAACGACAAATGCCGAGTTTTTCCGACGAGCATTTTCATGAGTTTCGGTCGAGGAAACACAAAGAAAATATTGATTATTCGCCGAAAATTTACATAATTGAGCGCCTTAGAAAAATAGATCGAGGTAGGGAAAGCTTTGCTGTTTTTAACTTACTTTATATTCTGTTATTTGTTGTGATTTTGAAGCCGTTGTGTGTGCACTGATATTTTATATTTATCGCGTTTATTTATATATCGTGAAACTTTAAAACCACACTATCAAAATACTCAATTTTTATATACTCAAACTGAAACGTAGCATTGTGCTTGCACTGATTATATTGTTTGCAAAACTTCAAAACTGCAGTACATTTTCTAAATAACATGAAATATAAATATCAAACAAAATTCTTATTTGCATACAATATTATGTAGTAATGCAACACAACAGTTTACAAACGAATTTCGTTTTCAACTACGTTACAAATCTTAGACGCTGTAATTGTGGGACGTATTTTATTATATTTCAATGCGCATGTGCTTAAACTTTTTCTGTGTTTTCGATAACATATCACTGACCTCTTGTTGGTTTTGCATGGATTTTTATTTTGCCGTACTTTGATTGTTGTGATCATGAAGTGACGGCCGTCAAGAACATCTACAGTTGATATTTCAAATTATTTTTGGAATATTGTGAATTTGTGATGGTATTTTATCAACCGCGAGGCAAGCGTGAACGCCTAAGCAGGCATCTTGTTTAGTTATAAATTTGTAAAGGAAATCTAACAGTCAATCGTTTTCGATAAAACCTTGACCTTGTTATTACCGTCGCTTGCAATTAATGATGAACGGTCGCTTATAAAAACATTGCCTATTTGCGTGAGAATGAAGAACTATTTCTCACTAAATATATTTATATTAAACTTATTAAATCAATATTTTAACTTTCACAGGCCAGTTGTAGCAAAAGTTATAAGCGATATAGTGCGTCATAAGGTTTCAGATGGCATGCAACATGTACGCATTGCGTACCTATTTTTGCAGTATTTTAATAGTTGTATTCTTCAAATAAGGCTCATGTGACAAATATTAATGAAATTCGTTTGGTTCAATACATATTAATGAAATGGGAGCTTCTAGTTTCCCGAAACAATTGCCGAGTTTGTCGCCGATCGTTGTAATTCTCGTGACATACATTGTTTTGACAATTTAGCGTTCGCTTTCAATTCCTATTCATTTTGCCAGGGCTACATGAAGTAAAGCAGCGTAACAGAAGCGGGCGCAATAATCGCGTGCTCTTGAATACGAGAGGATCACAGTTCAAAAGATCAGTATAAAAGCAAAACAATTTCGTCAGTATACAGTATTTCAATGAAATTAAAGCTTGTTGAAAAGATGTTATGTTACTTATAGGTTTCAATGTTAGTGTAATAAAACTAGTTTTTGTAGCATCCACTGTGAATTTATTGTTTAATTCAAACTCAACTCAGCCAATTTTAACACTAACCCAAATAGACAACACATCAATGAGAAAAGCATGGCATTTATTCAAGGGAGGCGTTTATTTAAGTAAAATGGGAAAATTGGGAAGTGTCCTGGTTTTGAGGACTCAGAGGTTGGAATGTCTGCCATTGGGCATGCAGATTAACAATGGGTTGCGAGCATAATCTGTGAAAATGACTATCTGCATATAGTAATGATTTATTACCTATACAGGGTGTCCCAAAAAAAGTACCCTCTATAGAAATTATCCTATTGTTATAATTTGAATGCCTGAGCACTATGCTGAACACAAGAGTGCATCAACACAATTGAATTGAATTTTTAATTACCAGTCGCATAAAATCCTGTGCCTAACAACAATAGGATAAATTTCTATAGAGGGTACTTTTTTTTGGGACACACTGTATTTCATGACCATGCAAATCACAAAACGAATAACTGAGGACAACATATTTAGCATATAAGAAAGGTAATGCAACAGCCAATAGAATCTTACTATTTTGCATTATGTCATGTTTTGCATATAGGTCATATAGTGAGAGCCAATAAGAAACAGGTCAACAATTAGCATTAACATAAATAAAGAGGGTAAAACCAATAATGTAATACTCTAGTTAGCACAATCAGTCAATGTGTATTACTTAATAAATTGCTAATAAAAAACAACAAAAATAAACTTTTGAACAATAGTCAGGCCTTTGCTGAAGCTCTCCCCTCCCAAAAAAGCTCTATTTTATCAAAACGGCTAATGTATTCGGTAATTTCTTTTGCAACCTGGCCAAACAAATGACCAACGATTTAAACAATTGTACCTCTACCCTCTAATACTATTCACCATATCAGACATATATGAATGCATTTTAATCCGGCGCTCCCCTTGTCTGCATTATGCCATCTTAAATCGATTAAGGTAGCCAAATCTAGTCGAATGACGGTATTCCAGCACAACTACTAAGAGACGCTGCTGTCTCTGCATCAGAAATATCTGTTTCCCTAACTGGTCTTATTAATCTATCACTATTTTTTGGGAACATCCCAGATGAATGGAAAGTGGCAAAGGTGATACCTATTTACAAGTCTGTGATATTTCGTCAGGGTACCGAAGTGTGCAAAATTCAACAGGAACTATCAGACGATTTGGAAAATGTAAATATGTGATTCAAAGATAATATGCTACATATGCATAATGAAATCTGTACTAAAGCCCTGGGCAAATTAGGAAACATTGTTGTGGAAACGTTTGTGATTCTCGATGTTTCCTCAAATGTTTCCCTGTTTGGCCACCTGTGGAAACATTGTTGCGGAAACAAAATTTGCTTCCCAAGAAGCAAAAATGTTTCCTAGCGAATTCAGAAACATTTGATGTTTCCCTATGTTCCTCACTAATGTTTCTTAGTGTTTGCCCACTCCGGTAAACATGGCGAAACATTGGCAGGGAAACATTGGCAGGAAACAATGTTTCCACAACAATGTTTCCTATTTCCCCGTTTTGCCCATTAATGCTTTGGAGGAAACTCTTTCTGATATTTCAAGTCTTTCAGGTTTTGAAATTCAGTTGAAACCATGCAGAACAGAGAAAGTCTATTATTAATTTGCTACGTGGTGAAGGCATTATCACAATTCTTCCTATGGAATACAGACAAAAGTTTGTTCTTTCAATTATACATTATCGCCAAATCAAAGCTTGTTACATGCCAGCATGAGCAGCGATCAAATATTTCTTATAGTTGTTATAGTTCTTATAGTCTTGTTATTTGTCCTCTTGAAAGTATAATTCAAGACCAGATAGCTGAGGCTACAGTACATCACTTGACCTTGCAGCTATAAAGTTGGACGAATATTTTAAGACTAACACTTCAAAACATGCTCACCTGTTATTTGCTACGGCAGAGTATGTTAAACAACCGTGGTTCAGGAGCCTTTTAAATGATAAAAGCTCTGTGTTGTTTAAAATAGCATAAAATCTCTCCAGTTGCCGAGCAAAAAAATGCATTATGCTAAATAGAAATCGACTATGATTGGATAATGGGTGAACCGGTGAAGGTGCTAAATTACAAAACGTCAATTCACCCTTAATGGGCGAAAACACATTAGTCATAGCCATTTGGGCAGGCATTTCCTCGCTGCTGCCCTCTCTTCTCCTGCCCGCAATGACCGCCCTGCTACGCAGGCTACAAAATGGCTAGGTGCTATGCAGTGGTGCTATGTTGCTATTAAAATCTATACAGTCTGTCATCAAAAAGTCTGACATTTTTAGGACACTCTCAGCAATACACAACAACACAAATTAGAAAAACTACAAACAAGAGCAGAAAGAATCATAAACATGTATCAGTCATACAAACTAAATATGCACTGGCCTTCACTAGTTTCTCGCAGAAAAATACTACAATTTTAGCTTTAAAATCATGTTTAAGCAATAGAGTTTCACCTTTCTTACAAAACTATATTCACTTATCAAATCCAAGCAAGTAACGATAAACTGTGCGCATAAATGTGCTATACCTAAAGTTAAACTGGCATTTGGTGGTAAGGGTTTTTATGTTTAAATTTCTCAGTCTAATGCCAGATAATTTTACTCACCAAGGGAACATCTTACTAATTTACATCTTAACCCTTTGCCTACTACTTCTCGATCAAGTAAAATTGCCTGTGTTAGACAGAATAAAGGAAATATTTGGTAACAAATAGAAATTTTATGTGTTGTCTCTCCTCTGTCAATAAGCTGGGGCCTGGGGATGAATAGCAGGGGCATCAAGGCCACCCGGTTAACATAATGAGGGATCTAGTTGCAACACACATGCGTTATCAAATCCTTTCTAATCTGATCTTCACCGAGGTTACAGGTGAAATATTACCATCATTTCTTTTATCTACAAAGAATAGTTGGTTTTCTATACGGTGAACATAAGGTTGGTTTATATACCACATTGTTACACTATTTATTTATTGCTGTATTTTATCAATTCTCGTTAGCGCAATTTATCGATTGATTGTTATTTTGTTATCTGGCCGAAATCTTCATATTATTTGTCATGGAGATAAAGTATTCCCGCGTTGTTTTGAGTTTGATTTTTGGCCATTCCTTCATTTGAAGACTTAAAGAAGACCTGCAGAAAGGTTTTAATACACGTGCTCATCGCGATTTTGACTTAAAAGACAAAACTTCGGTAAACTTATTTGGTGTTGGGGGACGCACAGTTGATAAATTGCAGGAGCCAGATTTGTATGTAATTAGCTCGATTAAACCGAGTATTATAATCCTCGAAATTGGAACTAATGATCTTTCTTTATATAAGCCTACCATTATTGTTGACAACACAGGGCGAAAAAACAGATTTGCACTAGGCTTTGCAACCCGGTGCAAAGGTGCCATTGCCGTAATCGCATCAAATTTGCAAGGTTGCAAATATTTTGGCAAATTTAGAAACCAAATTATGGACGAAAATACCCACAAATTCACTTGTGCAAATGAAAGGTAATTTGAGCCAAATTTATCCAATACCCATTCCCTCTCAAAAAAGAGAATTGTATTTACGAATATGAGGGTAAAAATTTATTTACCAATTTGCTTTCCAAATTTGAACAAAATTTGCACAATAGCAATTTTGATGCGATTACGGCAATGGCACCTTTTGCAGGGGGTTGCAAAGTTGGAGCAAATCTATTTTTTCGTCCTGTGCAAGTTAATTAGTTTAGTAAATATTTTGCTGTCTTTCTCATCTGTAAAGATGATAGCTTGGTGTATGGTCATACCACGTGCACG